TCTTGGTTCCACCTACATAAATAAAAAAAATTAAATTAGTTTATGTTAAGCAATGCAAAATTAAAGATATTAGAAATTAAAGGCCAATTAAATAGAATACTTGTATCCAACAGTAAGGCCATCCAAGCTAACATGTTGTGGGACATAAAGTGCAGGATGTTCGACATGAAGTCGCTCCAAAAACCAAATTTGAAGCAAATGAATACATCCTAAAATATTTGAACTCTTTGTCTTTGTCGCATCAGTAAGTTCCTTGTACAAGTGAGCCAGTATTACTGCCCATAAAGGATAAGTGTTAAATAAACCTAAGTCCTCTAGCAAATGCAGGAACCTTAAATGAATCTCATAATTGGAGGTGTATGGTAGAAGGTAAGATCCCATCAAGAAGAGAATATATGCTTAAACATGCTGCCAAAAATCAAGCTCAATCAAGTCCAGGTATGAATCTCTATAAAAGGTCCAACGTAGCCATCTCAAAGGTAAGCATGTCTGAGCTTTTGTCTGTCCAATCTTGAACTTTAAAGAGACTCGTGAATTGAATGGTCTGTCCAATCCTAAACTTTGAAGAGACTCATGGATTGAATGGATCATGATATACGACATCTCACTGAGGGTGTTGGCCTAGTAGATCTTGTTAACAATCATACCAACTTAACCATCATCTACTAGCACCTACAACACTGTGGCCAACTAATATTGGCCCATTAATGTGAAGACCCAATATGACATAAACATCATGTAATATAATATTCATCTCACCGACAGGTAAGTTAAATGAGTTCGTCTGTGGGAACCAGCACTCAACTAAAGCTATAAGTAGATTGTGATCCATCCTGATATATCATAGCTAACTCACACAGTCCAGTCATAAAATATGAAGCCCTTTCATAAACCTCAAATAATTGATTATCCACTAATGTACCATTAGAATATATGAGGGAGTTTCCTAAATTGTTTCCTACAAGTTCTGAAGATTGAAATTCATTAGTAGCATTAAGTGAAAATAGGATCTACTTAATACTTTAAGATAAATCATACCTCATCTGGATGGGCTGCTCTGTGTGATCCACGTAGTGTAACAATGTTGGGATGTATGTCCATCAACAGAGCTTGTTGATCTTTATCCCCTTATGGCGCACCCTGTTTAGCTTGACACTTCTGTCGAGCTGGTTAATTTTCTATCAAAATAGCTGCAAGTTTATCAACAAAAATTTGATACTTTTCAATATAAATAAAAGAGCAAAAAATGTTAAAGTTAGTAAAAAAATTTCTTGTAATATAATTGTTTGTTAGGAAAAAAGCTTTTTTCAAAAGTAGTTGGCAAAAAATGAAAGCCTTGGTTGACTTTTCATGATATATTGGGAAAAAAGACACATTGAAAAATGATATATCTTTCATTCTCGTACTAAAAATATATACTAAACATTCTTGCATCAGTTTCAAGTTTTCACAATTAAGCCCACACTCATGGGGAAAATGTGTAGTTATTCTAGTGTTCTTCAGTAGTTATAATCTCCAACCGTCAGACAAACATTTGAACAAAATTATAAAATATAACAGTAATAAGAGCTTACACTAGTAACACACGCGCTCTCTTTAATATGCCATTAAATGCTTCTGATGCGTTAATTGTCATTATTTCGTATCGGAACCCATTTTGAAACATCACTCTCAACTAACCATTGATGAAGTTCAGGCTTTATTTTGATTATATCTAATATGCTTTGATTGAATATTTAAGGATCATCAGTATTACCTATTGTGTACATCTTCTAGCTTAAAAACTCCACATCAACAACTCCCATTTGTTGAATGGCTTTCTTAAAGTTTTCACACAATTGTCTAAGACAATGGCGATGTGCTCCACCTCGGAATATGTCCCTATAGCCATGTACTAACCCAACATGCTGATTAGATATAATACAGAGATTACTTCTAGTGCTAATAGATGGGATTAAATCATGAATCATGGCAAGAAACCAGATCCAAGAATTATTGCATCCAGACTCCACAATTCCAAAAGCTAATAGGAAGATATCGTTATTCGCATCAAGCACAACAACTATGAGTAATGTTCCCCTATATTTACCCAATAAGAATGTCACGTCAAGGCTGAGAACGGAATGAAACAATCTCCAACTAGTGATAAATGGTATGGAAGCCCAAAATAACCTTTGAAATCTATGTGAACTAAAGGATTGGATTTTATAAACTATTTTGGGCATATCTGTAACAGTAGCTTCCATGAACAAATTCAGTGATGGATAAGATTCCTCCAAACTACCAAACACTTCCTTAATAGCCTTTCGATATGCATCCCATGCTTTCATGTATGAAACTATTATGTTGAACTTTGCCTCAACTCTTTCAATAATTTCTTTGGGATTAATATCCATTTACTTCCTTATAGTCTAAATAATGAAGAAGCTAATGAACATTGAATTATATTGCCTATGACCTGCTTGAAGAATATGGTTCGTACACGTATATGGACATTTTCTGGTGGATATCTTCCACCACCCAAATGCTTGTTTAGACTAGCATGTAAATTCCAACAACAGTTAATCATCATAGTATCATGTTGTATACATGCAACTGTGAATTTTTAAATATTTGAAGCAACCATTGTATACATGAATATTATTTTTAATGGACCAACCTTGTAAGGCAATTGCAGTTATGATTTTCGGTAGAAGCACATATGCTCTACCAATTCATTTGTAATGATGAATTCATTATTTATCAAGCTAAAAAAAGTAGTACTATTGGATACAACCTCCGCATTCCACTAGCGTTTACTCATGGAAATCTTAGCATATTCATTATTAGCTGTCATGCCCTCTTATGTATTTCCAATCCATACACAGTGATCAAGAATAATATCATGGATATTCTGTTGAACACTAATATTGCTAACGGTTGGATCATGAAGGATATCATCAAATTCTCCATCCATATCATCATTTGAACCTTTGCTCATTATCTCATAACTTCATCATCGATTATAGGAGCATATAATCTAATATCATTGACTTCAAAAACACAAGTACTCTGTGATTGTGTTGAGGGACTGTGTAAATTCATTTGTATGAGTTCTGTGTGGATCCGCATTAATACTTATGTAATATTAGATAACGAGTAATAAGAATTTACAACAACTAAGATAATCTACAATTTCTTCGACTGCTAACATACTCCAGGTTTACATTTCGCATTGTCACAGGTTTCTCAGCAGCATCTTGCATCTCATATGTGTGCTCAAGTAAGATTGAATCAAGAATTTGAGCCGAAATATCATCAAAATTACCATTTATTGGAATTTGGTCAACCTCCACATAACTAGAACTTTACTAATAGCTAGTGGCAATGCAAATTCACATGCATCATCGTCCTCAATATTCGAGGCCATATATTGATTGCCCATTGCAAATCGACCCACAATGGTAGCTATGAATTTTGAGGGATCGTACTTCAGCGCTCTAACAACTGTATCATTTAACTGGTTTAAAGTTGACTTAAATGGAACTTGTAATGGGCGACAGTTACCACCAGTATATGTAGGCGAAAAATTCTCATCTAAGGATAACTTCCCATCATATAATAACATTAAAAAATGGTGTTCGTGCACTCATCTTGAATATCTACATTTACAAAATTATTGTAATGCTACATTCATTTAATCAAGATTGAGGGGCTCAATGATGCAATTCCAAGAACACTCAAATGAATATCTCAACTACCAAGACTAATATTAGCTTTTCGTGTGAAATGTACATACGAAAAGTTTCAAGGAAGATTAACAAAATAAAAATTTTCTAAATTTTATCTAAACTTTTTTCAAAAATAAATTAGAATTTATAAGAAATAATGAATTCATAAATTATAACATCTAACATTAAGAACAAACTTAAACACAAGTTCGTGCGAGATAGCCACTCATCAATCGTAATATGCAAAATTGTAACACTCAAGCATATAATTCTAAGATTTTAAACACACGCACACAAGCATTACCTATGTACTACTATATAATTAAAAATTAAAAGATGAAAAGGCATCCAAATCTATATATTTTCCTAATTCCAATTGAACAATAAGATTCCATTATTCAGCAAAAAAAAATTCTGCATTCTACAGAGTTATAAAAAAACTAAAATCCCTTCATTCTACACTGATACATGGTGGATTTTGATTTTTTTTTTTTTTTCACATATCTAAACTCCATTTAGCAAAAGAATGAATAAAAAAAATGACCAAACAAACTTACCATGAGTCGACGAGAAGCGAAGGCGGTCGGAGAGGGTCGCAAAAAACAAATGCAGGAAAGAGAAAGCCAGAGCATCGGGCTTCCTTTTCAAAAAATTTAGGAAAGGAGCTAATCGCCCGTCTAACATGTGACTTATGAAAGCATGGCTAATCGACCGTCAAAAGGCGATTATGTCTAATTTTAAAAATTTTAAATGGATGCTTAATCAGCTAATTATAATGCTTAGATTAAGAATTACCCAAGAAATTTCAGGATGTGGTTAGATAGAATGCAACAAAATATTGGATGACTCACTATTTTTAAAATTTTCGGTACTGGTGCTCCCGCTAATTCCACCTAAAAAACCGCTGAGCTGCACCTTTATAAAATTACCTCTCTTATTTTGTCTACATTGTCACAAAATAATGAACAATTTGATCACATCTTATAGTTTTGGTACACTTAACGAAAGAAAAACCTGTAAGATAAATTTCAGTTGCATGATGAAAATGAAAGTTTTTATTCCATAATAAATATGTTATGAATAAACGTTGATTTATATTGAAGTAATCCATAGAATTAAAAAAAAAAAAAAAACTGAGCATAAAATTAAAAACATGTAGCGGAAGAGTATAATGTAAACGGGTAAAACTCAAATTTGTATAACTGATTATAGAAATATTCTAAATATATATGCTAATTTGATTAAGTAGATGAATATTTTTCTAATGCAAAATTACATATGATCATTGTGTTTGCATATAACAAATTAAGATTGGGCATGTTCTTAAATAAAGGTCTGGTACAGAATCCATTTATATACAGAGCTCAAAACAAGCCAGCTCCAGAATGTTGAGTAAAAGATACAAGCCAACTTAGTCTTGAAATATAAACCTGACAAACTATAAAAAGATCAAAATTATAAGAAATTTAAAAAAAAAAAAAAAAAGGCCCTATAGCACCCAAACTCCAGAGTCAATCACAAGCAGCAGCAAGTAATAAGACAAAGTTTGATTTATTCACAAGCTAGCTTAGTGCCAAAGCTTGTAAGGCATATGGCAAACGCCTGGAATGCTGAAAGGGGTTCCCTGTAATCCATGGTGAACAAATCATCCCCAACCTTTCCAAACTGGAGCAACACAGTTTCTTCTTCCACAGCAGCTCCTGGCTGACTTGGGTCTGCAGCTGCAACTAGCTGGAAGTTCTTCACTGAAGCTACAGTAACACGACCGTGAAAATTTAAGCACCAGCACTGGAGATGCTCGTGCCACCGTGGTGCCTTGTTCTTGAGAACAATGGAGCTTGAACCACTCTTAGTGGCATTTGCCAACTTATTAAGATCATTCTCCCTTGTGGTCTCTCCATCAGAACACAATAATGTGGAATGCATTCTTCTTGGTCCCCTGGACTTTAGAAGGTTGAATTTGTAGGCAACTTGGCCGATCTCAAAGTTTCCAGCAGGGACCTGCGGGCTGATTCGCTTGCTCGCAAATCGTCGACTTGCTCGGCTGCTTGATGCTTTTGCTCCATCATATGGTGGCCGGCTGTCGTAGATTGTAAAGTGTGTACCCAGGAAGTCAGAGCTGATAAATAAAAATTGTAATTGTATGAATCTGGATAGAAAATTTAATCTTGCAATGTATAGAATAATTTTGCCTCTGTTCTGAATTTTGAAACAAGAAGCGAGTAAAGACAATTTTAAACAGCAACTGGATCATATCATGAAAGGTTTTATTTCGTTTGCGAAGTACGAAAACGCATATTCTTTGTGGTCATTTCGAAAAAATCAATAAACACAACAATAGAGTTACAGACAATAGATATCCTCATATTTTAACAAATTTTTGCAAACTCATCTTTAAATGATATTCCCATATTTAAATCTAAAAAAAAAAGGGAAAGATAGAGATGTCTAAGGTATGCATTTGGTTGGTTTGAATGGCTTGGTTTATAAATAAGCTAAATCAATTCATTTCGGCTATAAAATTCAAAAAATTGAACCAACCTTTTTTTCAAACCGAACAAAACTAAACCAACTTAATCTGATAAATTCAGTTCAATTTTACATGAACCATAATATAACTACCATTAACAATGAAATTAATAATCTTTTAATTTAAATAATATGTATTAAGAAAAATACTATATAATATTTGTTAAAATTTATAGTTTTAGAATATAGAATAAATAAAATCCACATTGATCTTCTTTTCACTCTTATTTATATGACCATAAATTTAATGTTTGAATAAATTAATATAATTCAGGTTCTTGGTATGATCAGCTTTATATAAGCAAAATTCTAAACAATAACCAAAAATACAAGAAAGTCAAAACTATAAATAATAACCGAACTAATACTTTAACAGCCGAACAAAACCCACCAAATAAGATCTCTTTGGTTTAATTTTTCAAATTTATCTAAACAATGCTCGCCCCTAGAGATGTTTCATGAAAAGAAAAATGTTTTTTTTTTTTTTTTCAAGGGTAAAACCATATAAAGCACAAGGAGACATTAAAACGAAGCTTTAAATTATGAAAACCACCATGGAGAAATATTTGAGCTAATTATTATGTGTAGAAGAAGAAACAGGTACGCAACCTCAATTTCCCCATGTATGCATTGCTTCCTTGAGAGAGATCGTCAGCATCAAGGGAAATCATATATTCAGTACGGTACCCCCGTCTAAACCTCCGTGCTGCCAATAGAAACTTTCCCTTGCCCATAAATGCTGCAAGAATAAGTCTTTTACTCAACCTTAGCATTCAAAGATAAGAAAAAACAATAAAGTAGAACAAATTGGCACAAAGAAACCAAACTGAAATTAATTTGTCACTTGTACTATGAATCTGAGACCAAAGTGATAAATAGATCATGCTGAATTAGGAAACTTTTTTCTATTTCTAAGATTAATAAAATATAGTGACCCACGCAAGGAAATTGCATTCTAAATATCCCCTTGAACACGCAGACCTAACCTACTGTAAGCAATGAATGCCTAGAATACTTTTTAGAAAGGAAAGGTGCTCCGCGGCGCTTAGGGTTTCGCTCTCGGCGAAACTTTTCTCTTGCGGTGCTTAGGGCTTCGCTCGGGGACTTTCGCCCCTCCTCTCCATCGTCGATGGCAGGAAAATCTCCTCCTCTTCCATCTGCATCACAACTCAATCCGTTGTCTTCAGCTGCTCCGGCTCCATGGACGAACAATTTCACTACAGCTCCTGAAACCAGATATGAGATTTTTCCTGTGTCCTCTCTTCCACCGAAACAAAAACTTTCTTTTGACGTTGATGATCTCTCGGAAGGTATCTCTCTCTGGAACTTATCTCTTATTGGGTATTCTATCGATCAGAGACCGTATTATGAAAGGCTTCTTACAGCCATGAAAAAGTTATGGCAACTAAAGGGATCTCTCTCGTTAATCTCTCTTTCTGGTGGGTTTTTTCCTTTTGAAGTTTAATAACTTGGAGGACAATAATATGGTCTGGCTTGGAGGACCCTGGTTTTTGCATGGGAAGCCTTTTGTTCTTCAACAATGGTCTCCTAAATTCAAACCTAAAAGAGATGAGTCGGCATCTATCCCGATTTGGGTAAAGATTTTGGATGTGCCACTTGCTCTTTGGACCCCGTCAAGAATTTCAAAAATTGCTAGTTATATTGGAATACCGCTTATGGTTGATTCTCTTACAGCCAAACGTACGAGACTTAATTTTGCTAGAATTTGCATTTTGATTTCCAAAGAATCTAAACTTTCGGAAGAAATTTTGATTGATATTGATGGGGAGGATTTTTCTCTGAAAGTTGTCTATGATTGGAAACCGACTCCTGGTGATTCTTGCGAATCTCTTATTCACCCTTCTAATATTTGCCCCTCTAACCCTAAACCAAAACAACCTTTGCTAAATAATAATCTGCCCAATCTGAGGGTCAGAAGTACGAGTAGAAATCCCCGTTACAAACCCTGCACTGTCTCCAAGTTACCTCCTCTTCTTCCTACTCCCACAGAACCACCTGTTTCCAAGCCTGCTTCTCCTCCTCCCACTGAACAACCTGTTCAACATGAAACGACTGCAGATCATATATTACATTCTCCTCCTCCCACTGAACCGTCTGTTCAACATGAAACTATTGCATATCATATATTACTTTCTCCGCTTAGTTCTAAGAACATAATGGAAAAGGATCACAACATGCCCAACCTTAACATTCCTACAGAGGAGCTGTCTTCTTTCGAACCCAACTACATAAAATCTACTCATATATCTCCAGTCATTCCTATTGCCAATAAATTTAATATTTTCAATCTGAAAGGAATTCATGAACCTCGACTTGAAATAGACACTGATGAAGTCTCCTCGTAAATTATGGATAAACATGATTCCAATCCTCCACAAGGGAAAAATCTCTCCTCCTTGAATAAGTCTCCTGCAAACATTAAGGCTCCTCCTGCCAAAAAGCCCACAAAAAAAAAACTGCAAAAAAGGCAAAGCCCTCTTCCTCAAAATCCAAATGAGTCCTCCCACTATTGCCTGCTGGAATGTTAGAGGTTTTAACAAGCCCCAAAAAATTCTAGCTTGTAAAAACCCTTATTAACAGCCACAAGTTGAAAATGTTCTGTGTTCTTGAAGCTAAGATTCATCAGTCTATGCTGGATGATCCTTGGTACGTTAATTCTCATAAACTCTTTGAGAATGAGGGTTGTTGTAACAATTTTGACATTTCTTCCCTTGGCAGAATTTGAGTTAAATGGGATTCCTCTTTTATCTCTTTTAACCCTTTAGTTATTTCTTCCCAAATTATTCATGGTAAAGTTTTTTTCAGCTCCACTACTTCTTTATTTACCTCTTATTATTCATGATAGCCAAGCCGATTTTATTAAGAATAGAACTTCTTCTGATAACATCATCTTAGCCAATGAAATCTTAAGAGATTTCAAAAATTCTAAGAATTATTTATGTGCTAAGCTTGACATTCTTAAAGCTTTTGACTCGGTCTCCATAGATTTTATTATCAATCGTATGAGGATGAAAGGTTTTCCTGAGAAGTTTATTAGATGGATTAAATGTTGTATTAATAATATCCATTTTTCCATTTGTTTAAATGGCTCGCTGGAAGGGTTTTTTAAATCCATGTCTGGGCTTAGACAAGGTTGTCCGCTTTCTCCTCTTCTTTTTAGCATTGTGATGGATGCTCTTTCTTGTAGGTTACATGACAATCATAACTACCATTTTAAAGGCATTGTCTCTAATGGGCATGAATTTAACCACTTACTCTATCCAGATGATATTCTTATCTTTAGTGAGAATTCTATTAACAATGTTAACAATCTCAAGATTATTCTTGATGATTTTGCTGAAGCTTCAACACTACATATTAATCCGCAAAAAAGTTCTATCATTTTTGCTGATATCTATAGCCAGCAAGAGGAAATCTGCAATATTTTGGGAATTGTTAACTCTGTTCAGTACATTACCTATCTCGGTTTACCTATCTCTCTGGACAAGTTAAATGCTTTTCATTTTCATCTTCTTAACAAAATTGCTGGTTTACTGGATGGTTGGAAAGTTAAATTTTTATTTATGGCCGGCAGAATTCAATTTCTTAAATTCTCTAATGCTAATACTTTAACTTATTGGATTAGGGGAGCTATAATACCTAAATGCTCTTGCAATATTATTGATAGGATGTGCTCTAGGTTTCTTTTTCACGCCAAAACTAATGAGAAGAAGTTACATACCATTGCCTGGTCCATTGTTTGCAAACCCTAAAGCTGCAGGTGGACTGGGTTTACCTTCGATTAAGGCTCTTTATCATAGTTTTGACTGCTCTCTTATTTGGAGAATCCTCTCCCGTGACAATGGCTTGGCTTTATGGTATAGAGGGAAATTCTCTTCTCCTTGGAAGCCTCCTCCTATAGGAGCTTCTAAAATGTGGAAACTAATTTGTGAAGTTGCAGGTAAGATTAAGCACAAAATTATCTTACATATCAATACTAACAATAACCTTTCTTTTTATTGGGATCCTTGGTGTAATGACAAAGCTATTTCTGAGTTTATTAATCCTCCTCCTGGACCCTTTGCTCTGGTTAAGAATTATATCTCTCAAAATATTTGGGGGAACATTTATGATTTGCTTAGAATTGTGCTAGATGAAATTTCAAAAATTCCTATTGGTAAGCAACTGACGGTGCTCTGGGATGGCTTACCAAACCCCACCCATCGTTTATTCTTGGCTAACTACTATGAGAATTTATCTGATACTCATTGGCATAAATTTATTTGTTCAAAGGTCATGCTATTAGATTCTCGGTTTATACTTGGATGGCTATTTTGAAAAAGTTGAAAACGGCTGACTTGTTATTAAAGAGGAACATTGCCATCAATTCTTATTACTTTTTTTGCCGTTATGAGATGGAGAATCACAATCACTTATTTTTTGAGTGTGACTATTCTTTTTATGTTATTTCTAATCTTCTTTCTCATATGGATAAATTTCTTTTGAGGCCCAATTCATTGCAGTTACTTGATTATTTTGATCTTATTCATGGTTTTACTAGCAAAGAGAAAATTTATTCATTTTGTTATTTCCTCTCTAGATTATTTTCTTTGGATTGAAAGAAACAAAAGGCGATTTTCAGGCAATTGGGTCTCTCCTTCGGCTCTTTGCTATTCTATTAAAAAAGCTATTAAAATGAAAATTCTGAACAGGAAGAATTTTGAGGAACTTCGAAAAGTTTTTTTCTAATATCCTTAACTGATTTGGTTTCTCTTCTCCTTGTGGTTGGATAGTTGTTCGCTGAATTGCTACAGGGGTGTGATCGGGTGGGGCTGCTTTATGGAGCTTCCACAGGGCTTTCTTACCGGAATCTATTTTTGTTGTATCTGTGCCAATTTGGTCGTTGCTGCCACTTTGGAAGATTCTTTTCCTCTTCTATTTTAGCTTTTTGTTGTTTCGATGTTAGTTTTTAATGCATTTATTCTTGGAGATTGTTTTGGCTTCTATTTTCTACCATTTTTTTTACTTAGCTGGTCGCTGGAGTATTTTGTACTTTCATTCTCTCCTTTGTATTGATTGAAAGTATTGTTTCTTCTCAGGTTTTTTCTTTGATTTCAATGGAAGAATTATGAGGAATTACAATATGTTTCTTTCAATTATTCTTTACTGATTTAGTTTTTCTTCTTTTTGTGGATGGATGGTTCATTGCTGATCTGATGAGATTTTCTGGAGCTTTCACTGGTCATTCATGTTGTGTTCCAAATTTTGGCCGAATCTGTAGCAACTTAGTCGTTGATGCTACCCTTAGATGTTTCGTTCCTTTGTTGCTTGATATCTGGCTGTTTTTTGAGGAAGGATTTCGCTCCTTTCCTTAGATTTTGTTTTGATTTCAAAGTAATTGGACATTGCTGGGGTTTCTTATTGGTGGTGACGCTCATGTTGATTTCCGGGTTTTTTTTTTTTAAATGTGGGCTCCGAAAATTCCTGCCTCTCCGTGCCATCCGTCTATTTTTCTTTTATTTTTAAGTGTTTGTGTGAAGATGACAACAGAGAGTTTTAACGAGATTAGGTTCCGGGGGAATTTTCAGAAGGCAGATTGGGTTTTAGATAAGACACTACCCAGAGATTTCGTCCTCATTTTGTGAGGACTTTTTTATTTGAGTTCTGATTTCCTATAGGCACAAGTCCCTATAGTTAATTACCCCTCCCGATAACATGAGAGAACTTTCGATTAAGGCT